TTACTTCAATTTATACTAACAAATGTTATATGTGGCCATCATGGAGCATTATAAGTTTATAACATCTATTCCATTTTGAGCATAGCTAGACAAAATAAAATTATATGATAGAGGGAAAAAATAGAAGGAAGTTGTATTTTAATTACATGAAAATTTATACTTTATCCTTGTAGCAAGAATATATAAATTATCACAAAAATTTCATATAAGAATATTAGATCACACATTCAAATTTTAATATCTATCTATGATGACTATTTTGAAAAAGTTGGTATTAAAACCTTTGATCAGTATCATAAATGTAAACTATTTGATGCATAGTTTATTATATAAATATATTTTAAAAAATTATCACAAATATAGTCTCATTTGTTTACAAAATTAAAAGACCAAAACAGATATGTACAAAAAAGCAATGAATTAATCAACTGATTAATCAATATATCAAGTTACATTTCAGTCAAGTCAATTGCAACAGGTTTCCCTGCAATTTTTCAATACCTTAAGGGCATTTAACCATTTTTGGTAAGATTAGAAATAGCCAACATATGTACTAAATAATATGTAAGATCTGTTTTGATATATATAAATCATTCAATTTATAATCAATAGTACAATTCAAGCGCCCTAGGCCATTAACTAGTTCGCCTATATGAACAGGCCAGCTCTGAGTCTGAGTGAACTTGTACTGCTGCCAAAGTCAATCAATGAAGATGTGGAAATTGAAATGTTGTAACAAAATGGACAACTAGGAACAGATTTTTTTCCGGAAACTAATCCACTACATGAAAATGATTGAGGTAAGTAAAGTTATTGACGAGAGATGTGTAGTGCTTCTGCTGAACCAGAGTGCTTTAAAAGATGCTCATATGAATCTTGCTAAACAAAGCTTTAATTAGTGAATTTGTCAACAAACTATTATTGACTTACTACATGAAGTTCAAAAACAATCTGATGCTCACCTCCCAAGATGGTCATTTTTCCACATATTTTTGAATGGTTGCCTAAGAAAAGTTTCAGTGTATAACAAAATGAGATAAAAATGAGAATATAGACGGATCACCTACAGTTGTAATGTAGACAATCCAAATGAATGTATGTTATATACAATCCCATTCCATTCAATGAATCAGTCTGGGAGTTGATAGAATTACAAAAGTGCACTCCTACAAGATTAAAAGTGTTAGACCATCAGATGCTGGAAAATTAGTGGTAATCTGTAAATGTCAAGATTGTCATTGTCAAGATTTTAAAAAATTTATAATTCAATTCAATTATGCATTTTTCACATGCTGCTTTAAATTAGCCTATATTAATGTTCATATATATATATCCTGGACAGCATTTATTACATGAGAATAAGTAGAACTTCTGAACATGAGATTATGTAATATTAAAATTAATTTATTTGACTACAAATATAAAAATTTCTAGTTTTAGTGTTAGATGTTTTAGAACAATACACNAAACATCAAGCTTATAGCCCAATAATTCGTCAGTTAGTTTGTCTTTGATCATCAGGTTTATGAAGAAAAACTTCGTACTTACAGACATCGCACAACATGGTGTTACGCGTTATCGAAGCTATTGGGCATGGTTAAAAATTAAGACAGCATAAGCACAATTATTCCAGATATTACAGGTTCCAACAAGTAAAGAATTTTGAGAGTCATGACACAAATAAGCTATGTATTGATTATTGACCATTTGTGACATGCTATAATGAGCAAAAATTTAAGAAACTAATAAGTAGGTTTAAAATTGATAAATACAAATGTATTCTGACAGTTTATGAGTTAATTATGCTTTCTATTTGCAAAATTCCTCAACCTTAACACAAAATAAAAAAAAAAGTGAATTTTTAAGAAATTTGCGGGATTTCCCGGGATAAGAAAACTTTCCCGGGATATTTCCCGGGTTAAAAAAACAACCGGGATCCCGGAATCCCGTTTGAGAAACCCTAAATAATACCAATGGTAAATGGAGAAATGAAATTACAATTTGCAGCAATGTCCTTCCACCTTTCACTCTCTGCCAGCTCCAACTGCTGGCCCCATAAAAGTTTAAAAGCAAACGTAAAAAGTCACAAAGCAGTTGCCCACTGGATGAAACAGAAAACAGACACATCAAACTCAAATACTACACTACACAAACAACCATGAGGAAAAAAGAATAAAATTTAATACTTGTTCTGCTGTTTGTTTTTATTGAGATTGTCATTCATATTACTGATTTGCATAAGACATACAAGGCACCGCCTTACCAACATGGCAGCTCGTTGCACAATAATATGTTGCTAGTGATCTTGGGGATAGCTATTGTTTTTTATGCATAAGTAATTATGTCCTGTCTACACAAATTATTTGTGATGCAAGTGACCAACAGTCAAATTTCTACATCTCTGCAATAATGTCATATAATTAACTACAGTAAAAAAAAATTAGCAAAAAATTCTAAGTAAATTCAATCATCTACAAATGTTCATTTATTGAAGGATCAAAATTTGAATTTTATAAACTATATACTGTGACTTAAAGTGAAAGTTATACACCAGATTTTTAAAAAGTTTTACACACAAAAAATATATAAATAAAGTAAATCTGTTTATTTAACAATTTTAAAATGACTGGCAACTTTTGTGCTGTAAAAGAATAAATAACTTGTCTTTCTATTAATTATTAGAAAAAAATTCTCATTTTACTAAGATTTGATGCGAAATTAAAGAAATTAAAACTAAATTTGTTTGAATAATAAATGATGAAAGTTTCATATCATATTTTGTAGTGCCTTTTACTCTCTATAAACAGCTTTCAGTCTATCTGGTATGGATCTAACAAGCTTTGCTCAGGATCATTATCTCGACTATAACTGAAATTGTTCAAAATTCAAGCTTTGCTACACAGGGCTTTAAATTTTTTTTAATATGTTTATATATATTTTAAGATCCATCCAACCATCAATTAAAGATCTCATTCTTACTGTTAACATGCAATTCCATACTTTTACATTCTCACCACTACTTTTCACAGCAAGTTGTGTTGGTTGTTCATATATGGCAGGGGTGGCCAACCTGCGGCTCGCTAGCCACATGTGGCTTTTTGAAGGATTTTTTGTGGCTCTCGATAAATGTACCCGAGTTTCCTTTTCATTTTTGTGTTATTATATTTTTAAAAATTATTATCGTTCCGTATGTGTTTCAAAATGTCTTTTAAATTGCTAACAACAAATATGAAAGACTAAGTGCAACGTTGTAACAAATTTCATTTCTGTCCAAGTTAAGAATGATATCACTCATCGAAAACTGCACGAACGAACAAACAGTGGCGTAATCGTCCGTTATCGACCGACTCCAGACCGATTTTGAATTTGTAAACTGTCATTGCAACGGACAGTTGACATTGTGCTCTGGAGGAAACAATTTGTATCATTCTTGCTACGGATATAATTTGTAATCTGGAATTTTTTGCATACCTTTTTAATACGTATTTAATTGCAGCTCACGAAAAATTTCAAATTTTGAAAAATGGCTCGGACTATCAAGGAGCTTGGCCACCCTGGATATATGGCAACACAACTTGAGGGAAGATGCCTCATGAGAAGGATTTTTATGGTAAAGTGGGCTCTATTTAGGTATAGGACCTGAGAAGAAAGTCTCCAAAAAACTCCATGAGGACAGCCTGTTGGTGAGGCACAAACCCACGACCAACTACTAGTGTTCAGTACTTTATCCTCTTGACCACTGGTTGGTCAGAAGATTGTGAACAGGTTTCATTTTTTTTTGCCTTTCTCCACATCATTGTTTTTCTGTTAGATCCAAACAAGTTAAACATGTATAGAACAAGTAACTGGATGAATATGTAAAGACACTCAAACATCAAAATAATCCAACAAAAATGACATTTTTCAATTCCAAAGTTCTTTAAAATATGTTCATGAACAAACTTTAACCACTTTTGTCTATTTGTATTGCTAACTTTTTCCTAGCAATCCATTCTATTGAAATTATTTTTCTTTAATTGTTTCTAGGTTGTCTTTCTTTTTCAAATGTTTTTTGACACTCAATGCAAGCTTTGGGATACTAATCTTAGGATTGTCTTTACTTGCAGAATCCACCATTCATCATGAGAATTGAAGTTCTTTCTGGGACTTCATTTTCCACAGCTTGTCCATATTTTACACTTATTAATAACACCCCGAACCACTAAATGACTCCTGTTAACAATGCTTTCCATGTTTTTAACAACAAACCATTGGTTTCTTTTTGAGATACAGACAACATCGACATGCCATAATAAAAAACACAAACTTCTTATAAAAGTTATTTCATAATTCTCAGCAGACACTAAATTAAAATTAACCTGTACCAATAATTAGAGAAATATGAAAATTAGCCACTTTCAGTTCTACATTGAGTTTTACTCTGTTGTTGTTTATTTGAATTTGAAACAATTGTTAATTTAAATTAATAAAAGAAAATACAATTATTACTATTGTTTTAATGTTTTTCTTTCAAAATACCTTAAACTTGAATGAAATTAATTTAAATATTTTCTTTTAATTATGAAGAAATATTAAATATCTGTGCATGACTTTCACTTTAAGTCAATATATTTCAAAATCAGGTTTTGAGGGAAAAAAATTTGACCCAATCTACGCAATATAAACACAAATCTTTGATCTAATTTTTAACCCGACCCAATTTAAAGAGAAAAAAATGAAAAAATGTCCTAATTATCTTCAAAACATCTCTCTTAATCTAATAAAAATTTATATATTTCGCATATTTATAAATCCTGGCTTTTCCTTTTCCTAAATTGATGCAAATGTCAAGGTCGATGATTAGCCCCCCTCCTTTTAATCCTACTTCCGCTTATAACATCATCCCACGAACAATTTAAACTTTAAATTATTCGTGGGAATTAAACGTCGATTAAATAAAAGGAAAGGAAACGTTAATTTCCCTCTTAGAAAACATTACTTAAAAGACGATAAATACTTACAACATACTCGGCCATAGTGCAGACGATAATTGTTGATAGCGAAAGCATAAAATGAAAGTACCCTCTAGCGGTCGTAATGCGCGTTTAAAATTAGGTTATACAGGTAACTCCCGTATAACACGGGAGTTATGTTCCAAAAAATTGTCGTGTTATACGAAACAAAGAACTAGTACGAAAAAGAAAGGTTATGTTCCAAAAATTAAAAAAACATGCTATTATATTTTCATAATTAAGATAAATATCTTCATTAATGCATATTAATATAAATTAAACAATGTTCCCTTTGTCATCACTAAGTACTATTAAATGAGGGCATTTTCTTTTTGGCAAGATATCCTTTTCCTCTGAGCATTTCTCTGCATTATCTTCAGATCCATGCTCTACCTTTTGCAAAAAAAATATGTTATTTTAGATTGCTTGCTTTTAGTTAAAAGATCTTTATAAATTTCCTTATATGGTGCTAAGCACTTATGAAGAATAAAGCAAGTATGGAATAAGGGAAAAACATCTGGCAACATAAAAGCAGAAGCGTCGAGATCTGGTAACATGAAACAAGTTTCGAGAAGGACCACGTGTATCGACAGAAGGCGAGAAAAGAAAATTTACATACTTAAGTATGTAAATTTAAGTTCACGAAAATTATACAGGAAAATCTGATAGTACGTACAGTACGCACTCGAATGAAAAATGTCAAATGAGATATCTTTCGCACTTAAAAGCTTTATCACATTTATTGAACTGTTGTACGGGGATTTCCCTAATTTCTAATTAGATAAAGTTCGCTTTTAATCGTTTTTATTACTGTACATTTCATGTTGTACGAGGATTTTACCCAATTCTCAAACCGTGTTAGAGTGAATACATGCTATACGGGGGTTATCTATACATAAAAAAACCTGTGGTAATTTAAAAAAAATTAAATTAAACAAGTACATTTTACTTATATATTATCAAATTCTGCGAATTTAATTAATTTAAAATCTGACTTCCTTTTTCTATCCATTTATTTGAAAATACACGAAGTAAATCCATTTCCTCCCCCAACTCTTTAAGCATTTTTAATTTAGTGATGTAACGAATATTCGGTTACTATTCGGCCGAATACCTAAAAACAGGAGTAATAAATAACAAAAACACAGTAAATTAATCGTTTTGGTATTTAGATTTAATGTTATCGAGTTAGTGTTGTTTGTTTATATTTATTTATAACTTGTAACATGCACAAAATAAAAAAGAAAATAATATTAGTCACATGTATTCACAATTTATAATTACAAAGATCAGCACACGTACATGTCTATCGTTGGAGAATCCTCGCACATCTGAGGGTCTGACCCT